TTAGCATGAAGCTAGCTGACTTTCATTTGACGAAATGAACTAGTTGGGGTCTGGATTTTGCTGTGGAAAATTATACAATGTCTAATTCTCGTTTATTTTATGTGTGAGATTTAAAGTAAACTTTAACCAGCAAAACTGCCTCTGATTCGAACACTTGTGCATGAGAGGCTCTTGATGATACTATACAATAGTCTCCCAGGCACTACGGAATCTTTTCAAAAGTCTTTTAACACGTTGAAGTGTGTTTTAAGTGTGGGGAGAGGTGCAACTATATTTAAAAAATGAACAGGGTTTACTGTGGTTGGATTTGTGAATAGTGAAGCATGCATAGGCGAGTCTTATGGCGGATAGCATTCCAAAGGAGGTTTCGAGCCTCTACAGAGAGCAGTAAGACTATTTGAAAAATGCGATCGGTACCATTACGGACACTTACGAGATTGCGAGTTGGACTGAGAGACTGGGAGCGCATGAAACTGATTGGACTTCTGCTCCACTGGAAATAAATATGAAGACAGATTACAACGTCAGAGTGTCACCATCTTAACTGGCACTCGGGTTACTTTCAAGTACCACAGCTCCTTTCTTGGTCACGACTTCGCCCTTGGCGCGCACGGTGCCGCCCTGCATCAGAGCGGGCCACACGTGGTACAAGACCAACTGGGCCGAGAGGTCCGAGTCGGGGCTGCGACGGTACCTGTCGGGAAGAGAGGATTTAACGATTGTACTTTCACAAGTGTCTGGAGTTCTGAATCAAATGATTCATGATTTAGTATTTGTTTTAATAGGTTTTAAAAATTCAAAAAAAATTTTAGGGAGGGTGTTGTAGATTTTAAATTTAAAAATATTTTTTTTAATATGAGTATTTTTTTTTTAATGTCACCATACCTTACTGTTAGTACTTGACAGTCTATTAATGTGTTATAATGTGGACCGAGGACAGCGATTTATTTCCTACACCTACAGTTTGAGGGAAACTGGTAAACCCTGAAGTAAAGGAGAAGGAAATGCTAACTTCCTTAGCATGAGCGAGTTCTTTTGATCTACTTCGCATGTCAGTTGAACACTTTGGCGCCATACTTGTTGCTGATGAAAAGTTCCCCGTCACTGGCAAAGGCCAAGTCGATGGGCGGGTCCAACGTCTGCATGGTGAAGGCCAACTTGCACGTCTCCCGAATCAACGGGCTGACCACGGAAAAGTTGACTTTTGGGATGGAGGCGATGCGAGGGTTGAGGTTCATGGCGCTAAGTACTTCCTGTTGCGGGGTGAACACAAAAGTCACAGGTGCACACTAGCCTCCGATGATGGATGACATGTTTCTGTTCTTTTTTACCTCGACGCTGTTCTCCACATCGTAGAGGTCCTGGTTTCGGACGATGTAGTCCACTACAGTGTCTTCCAGGCTTTCGGGCCCAAAGTGACATGAGGATAGACTTTTGCGAGCGCGCAGCCTGAAGAGACGATGAGCAAGTTTTGCTGCCTTGAAGGACTCCTGATGTGTGACGACACACAACAAACAAATACATGTTAAAACCTCTTTCTGGACTGCAGTGAAGGGGAAAACTCCTGGTTTGGAATATGGAGAATTTAGGGCACACCTCATATGTAAAAATGTCAATGTTGATGTTGTTTTACAACCCAGGCATTGTGCCAACAGACTGAAATTGGAAGGGTTAAAAAATAAAAAAAAGTCATAGAAGGCATCTGCCCTTCACGGTCCACTGTCATAGCGGCTTTAGAGTGCCTCGTAGTCAGCTGTGAGTGTGCGGATTTTCCATTTTAAATCCGACTTGGACCTCAGTTTCAGGTTGGTTTAGCCATTATCGAGTGCCTCGTTGTGAGAGAGTGTAAATGTTACACGATGACCTGGTCGCGTCTATTCCAACACATTCAGTCAACATGAAACCAAAACATGAAAATGTCTCCCAAGTGGCCAAAAACGACCTCGAACAAGATAAAAGGAAAGTAACATTATTATTGTGACTCTTACCACTACGGCAATGAAAATGATCCTCCGGACCGTCTCCAAGTCATTCAAGTAGCCCTGAAGCTGTAACTGCGCTTCCTTACGTTCCTCATTGTACAGGTCACTGAAGCGCGACACCACGCGCATGAGGCGGGAGGAGCTGGTGAGCTGCGACCGCGGGGTGGTCTCGGACCTCAGGGGGGTGGAGGTGCAGCGGAGACTCGACGGAAGCCTCACGGAATTGTTTCTGGCCAGCCTGACAAAGGTGATTTAAGGCATGAGTGATTTGCTGGAGATGGACTGAAAGTTTATATTGGATGTGTGTACATGTAGTAGCGTGGTCATACAGTACCGCTGTGAGCTCAGATATGACACTTCATCCCTTAATTTTGACATCTGACGCTCATAGTCGTGATAGGAATCCAATTTCTGCTTGTAAAGGTCCTTTTGTAAGTGTGCTGCTCTCAAGCTAAAAACAAAACAACAACAACAACAACAACAAAAAAAACACATTTATGGATTCATACAATGCCGGGGGGAAATCATCTAATAGCACATTTGCGCAACAGATACTCTCACCCACAACTGAGAACTTTCAAAGGACATATTCATTCATTCATTTTCCGATCCGGTTTATCCTCACACGGGTTGCGGGTGGGGTGCTGGAGCCTATCCCAGCCGTCTTCGGGCAGTCGGCGGTGGACACCCTGAACCGGTTGCCAGCCAATCGCAGGGCACACAAAGACGAACAACCGTCGGCGCTCACACTCACACCAAGGGACAATTTGGAGTATTTAATCAGCCTGCCATGCATGTTTTTGGAATGTGGGAGGGACCCGGAGTACCCGGAGAAAACCCCACACAGGCACGGGGAGAACATGCAAAGTCCACACAGGAAGGCCGGAGCCGGGATCGAACCCACGACCTCTGCACTGTGAGGTCAACACGCTAACCACTGGTTCGCTTTTTCCAAATAATTTGGATGTAATTATTTTCAGGGCGGGATCTCATTGCTGAACGTCAATGGAAACATATTAGTTCCGTGAACTAATAGTACCTGGAATATTTCCTGGAACTTTTGGTCTGAAGGGGATTTTGCACCACAGAAATTTGTTCCAAATTCCTAGACGAGGCCCCCACAGCAGTGTCCGTTCTCTCTCTCCTTCTATCAGGAGCTATTTCACAATTTTTTAGGGGGGGAGCACTATGTTTTTTGTTTTTTAGAAAAACACGGCGGGCATGATAAAACGCAGCTCGTGTGTGTTTCAGTTACTCTTCTTTCAGTTGCAGTAGTTCCTCTTCAGTGGTCTGCAGGGTGGTGGCTGTTTTGCTCTTTGTCTTGTTCAGATCCCTGTGAGCTTCATTCAGCCTGGAAAAAACAAACACATCCTTTATAAGTACGGTATTCCATCCATTCATTAATTTTCTACAGCACCTGTTCACTTTTGGGCGGTGGATGAGCAACCACATAACTGTGCTTTTAAGTCTGCTAGCGCAATGCTAACACAGTCACAATGGTCCCAGTAAGAGCAAAGAGGGCAACCATCTTGGTACTGGGTACTTTATCAAGCAACACCCATAAAACACAACCAGGTGAAAGTATCCCTCTGAAAACACCTTCCTGGCGTGAGTAGTTTTACTTTATTTTCCTCACGTGCCAGACTCACTCTGCCTTAACCGAGTCCAGCTCCAGGCGAGTGGAGCACAGCTGAGACTCCATCCACTGCATGTCGCTCATGTTGCCGCTAGGGAGCTCCTTAAGCTTTCGCTCCTTTTCTGCCAAATCCTGGTGAGCGCACAAAATTGTGTCCATTTAGCGCCAGTTAGCATCTTCCGCCATTAGTTTACTTTAAAGGTTGATGTGACCTGGAAAAGACTGAAACCGGTGTCTTTGTGGACAGGGGGTTGTAAGGGTGAGAAACAAGCCCCCAGCCATGGAAGCAGGCGCGTTTTTAGCGTGGAAACTCCGTCTGTGTGTTGACCTGAGTCACAGGGAGAGAATGGATGTCAGACAGGTAATACGCATATTGATACAGTGGATATGAAGTCGACACACCCCAGTTGATGTGCCGATTTATGTGATTCTAAAAACCAAGCTGAAGCATTTCAAAATGGTTCCCCCCTTAATGTGACTTATAAACTGTATAACTCAATTTTTAAAAAAATCTTCTCAACAGATGGTTGGCTGGATGGCTAGCTGGCTGGATGGATAGATGAACCTAGTATTTGGACAGGGGTGTGTAGAGTTTTTATATCCACAACAGGTTATGTAGAGTGGTTACCTTCAGCAGCAACCGAATTAAGAATGGCAAAAAGCTGCCCTTGGATTTTGGCCGTAAATTCCATCATCTCACAGCACCGATTCATGTTCTCGTCACAGGAAATCACCTTGGGGAGCACAAACATTGCTCTCATGAATGAGAGAGAGAGAGAGAGAGAGAGAGAGAGAGAGAACATAATACTGTTGATTTTTGATTGACTTGAGTATAGAGTTCTTTTTTTTTTTAATGCTGATATATTGGTGATAAAATACTAGAAACAGTACAGATCTATACAATGAAAATCACAACTGAATATCATAATGGATGTAATGTTTGTTTTCATTTCATTTTTTTCTTATCTTCAACAAAGAATCATTGAGGGCAAACTCCCTGATTTACATTTCTGCATTGTTAAAACCGTGCTTGCGTGGATTTTCTCGAGGTACTTTGGTTCCCTCCCACATCACAAAAATATGAAAACATTATTGAAGACTATTAATCAACTATAGGCGGAATATCACGTGACCAAACCGTAAAACAGGTTAGTGGACTTTCTGTGTATTCCGCGATAAATCATAACGAGTACATGATTATAGACTGGATGATTTGAAGCCTAACTTGCTCACATTTTTGTTTTCTTTATGGCTAGTGTCTTCGGACAAAAGACAAAAACATGTGTATAATTTGTATTCAGTCTAATGTCCCGATACCCGAGTTGCAATAGTTACCTTACTTTTTAGCAAACAAAACACTAGAAATAATATTGACAAAATCACTTCCGGTTTTGCGTGAACAAAACAGGAATTAGCCGAGAGTGCACTATCTTTAAAATGCTCTTTTGGAAACGTCACTCGGAGGCCATGGAGACTCGTTCCTATAACAACCAAACTCAAATTGAAAATCTGTAAAGTGCTAAATAACCGTATTTTGTGACTTTAAAAAATATTTTACGGCGCACTAAAAACACGAGTTAATATGTCATTTGAAGTCATACCATGACGCAAGGCTAGCGCCATTACGTCTATACATCATGACGTATACAACCCTATGTCAGGTTAGCGTGAAGTTTAAATTCTTAAAGAACTTACATGATACTCTCTTTGCCATTTCTCCAACCTGTCCTGTAAAACGCTGAAGCAGGACTGAGTTAGCAGAGCGTTTAAAGCATCCGCCATATCTGTGCTCCTTGGAGAAGCAAGAATAACAAAACAAACACAAAAAAAACTCTCCTCCGTTTTCGCGAGTGAACGAAGAGAAACAACAAACGCAAAGAGTTGTCCCCGCCTACAGGTGAGGCAACGTCACGTCATCTTCTGCTGGCCTTTGTTTCACAGCAGCCGGACTCAGACGGAGAATGTGTTGCTGGTGATGTGCTTTTAATCCAATTTTAATTATTCCATAAAGGTAGTTTACCTGTTAGTTTGCTAGTTCACAATTTTAAGTGGTGACATGACGAAAATGAGCTCAATTTGGATGCTGCCCTCCAGTGTGTATCGAAAATGGACACAAAGAAAATGTGAAAAAAATGACACACCCTCAAATTACACCGAATGCTTAGGTTAGTAAGAAAACACCGGTGAGGTTTTCAACCAATGAAAATAATGAAATTACTAAACGTAATAAAAAGAACAAGAACAACAGCAACAAAACACCGGAGCTGTAAGTAAATCTAAATGCACTTGGGGGCGTTGTTGACTCTACACAGGTCGTCTCACTTAATGGGAGACCATAAAGCACGTTATTTGCAGCTGTTAAGTAAATAGATTAAATGCATTTAAAAAAAATGTTAAACTAAACATTTTGTCCATGCAACATAAAGTGTAATTACGCACCTACTACAGTAGGTGACAGTGTCACTCATTTATTTATGTATTTCTTTACCATAAATTGATGCACTTTAAATCTTTTATGTGACAGACTAAAAAACATAGTTATTCTTTGAAGTAATTTGACCTAGATTTCTTCTTTTGTGTGTTCGTGTGTGTTAATAAGGTTATACCTGCTATCCATAGGTGTACTTCTGTTTTCTAGACAAATGATATAGTATTTATTGTTTCGACGGAGAGCTGGGAGGAAACAAAATGTTTTCTCCTTCCTAGTGGGGGTATAACACAAAACAATTGAGAAGCATTACTCAAATGGAAACTTCTGTATAGTTTGTCTTTTTATGGCGAAATATTGTCTCCGTGTATCTATGGCTGAGTATGAATATGAGATGGACGATACTTTTAACATTAGATTAATGCAGTTGCTCAAAGCCTTGGAGAACCACAAAATTATATTATATAAAGTTTTACAGTTCAAAATCATCAAATAACTTTATAAAATGAATACAAGGTCTAGTTTATTGCCCGGGTTTTGGAAACTATGAACGTCTATAAAATGTGGTTTGCTATTTCTGGGCTCCTCCTGCCATTGGCTAGTTGGATCGGAACGTACCATCTTCCAGAAACGAAGTTCACATGATTTGAAACCTCCTCGTCGACACCACAACTATTCGAGTGTTTCTGTACTTTGCATTAAAGCGACACAGCAGTTAATACATTTCGCAAAACACGATAAGTTTGGGTAAGAAGAACACCAAGGCGGTTGATGGTGGGCCCACCCCCCACGCACTCGCACTCCGGTCGGAGAGAGAGGGAGGGTCAACATGGCGTCTGAGCAGGTCCGTTATAGTCTCAATTTATTCTTATTTTCTCCTTTTCTGACACAACTTTATGTGTACTAAAGGGACAGTTACGCTCGTGTGTGCGCCGCACCCGAGACGCTTCGTGTTTAAGCCAAGCCCGCTGTCATTCCAGTGTCATAAACACTGGCCTTCTGGATCGTAATTGTTTAAATAAAAAGCTGTGTTGCATGCCAAATGGTGGGAAATGTTGACATTTACCAGTCTTGCGTGACGACGAACTAACCATAAGAGCGCCGATAAGTAACGGTTTAATAGATCTGTTTTGATGCTAAATTGGGAAGGGTGTATTTTTAGCGATGGCCGCACATGCAGGCTTGCTGTCTCATAATAGACGCATATCAGCACACGGTTGAATGAGAATTTAAACAGGGCTGTTGCATTGATTAATTGGTGTAATTGTTTAAAAGAGCCGTTGTCAGTTTAAAGAATAGAAGTTCACATATGTCTAAAGTAGAAATGCATATCCAACAGAGCAGTGGCGGTCCTAGTTTTTTTTTTCCGTGCGTTGCAGCCCCCAGTATGATTTTTCATATCTGGCTTAACGATGTGTGGTTAACATTTGGGTTTTTTTTTCCCCCCAGGAGAGCGCCAACGGGCCGGTGAAGAAGTCCATGCGGGAGAAGGCCATCGAGAGACGCGGCGCCAACAAGGAACACAACAGCAACTTCAAAGCGGGCTACGTGCCAATCGAGGAGGAGCGCCTGCATAAGACGGGTCTTCGCGGGCGCAAGGGCAACATGGCCGTGTGCGTCATCGTGCTCCTCTTCCTCCTCGCTTTGATTAACCTCATCGTGAGTACACCGGTGACAAAAATGCAGTGCCTCCTCGCCCCCCTTTTTTTTTTTTTTTTTTTTTTTTAATGAAGAAAAAAAGCATATCTAGAAACAGTAATGTGGTAAATAAATACAGTGATTGACTTTTTATAAACACTTGTCAGGTATGCATCCCATCCAATGTGTCTGCCACTTTGCTGTTGTTCCATTCAGATCACTCTGGTCATATGGACGGTGATCCGCATCGGTCCAAACGGATGCGACAGCATGGAATTCCACGAATCGGGTCTTCTGCGCTTCAAGCAGAAGGCCGACATGGGCGTGGTTCACCCGCTGCACAAAAGCACTGTCGGGGGTCGCAAAGACCAAGACCTGCTCATCGTTGGCAACAATAACCCGGTAAGAGGAAACGAAAACCTCCACCATGAGAGCAAATCAGTGATTCATGTGGGCTCCCTCTAGTGGTACGCTTCAGAATTACCGCTGAAGTGCAGTTCCACTTGAAAGTTAAATACAGCTGAACTGTGCTTTTTCGTTCAATACATTTGCTGTTAGTCACTAAGAACTCCTTGTTTTAATTTTTTATTTTTTTTAGGTCCCACTTTGTGTCCAAAAGTTCAGCGACAACTGATCCAAATGTTAAAATGTTTGTGTTGTTTTAGGTGGTGTTCCAGCAGGGCACCTCCAAGCTGAGCATGGAAAAGGATAAGACGTCGGTGGTCAGCGACACCGGGATATCATTCACAGACCCCCGCACCCAGACCACTTTTTTCAGCACTGACTACGACAATCACGAGTTCCACCTGCCCCAAGGTGTCAAGGTGCTCAGTGTCAAGAAGGCCTCCACCGAAAGGGTGATTGTCTCTCTCAATAACCATCTGAGCAAGGCTCATTCTATATCATTTTTGGTTCCAGCTACCTTTGGTGCTTGGTACACATAGTTCAGGTTCTAATTTGGCCCGAAAAAGTTCCCATAAATAAAATTTTCTCTGATTTTTGTACTCGTGTGTTATTTAGGCTCTTTTGTAAGCTACGGTGATTAAAATAAGGTGAAGGTTCTGTTAAACAATTTCACGGTTGAATTTAATTGTTTATGTCACATTGGTTCATCCTAACTGTGCATATTTTTTTAATGCTTTATGATGCTCTCTGTTTGAACTGCTTTCCTGCCATCTTGTGGCACCTTATGCAATTACAACTCCGTTACTGGCGGATTCTTGTTATTCAGTTCCCAAACATACAAGGTTCCTCAAAAAGTTCCTGGTTCCAATCTAAAGTGCCTCTGGTGAACTATCTACTTTAAGCCGTGTTTATGGCTTAACGTTCAAGAACTTTTAGTCCTTGCTACATGTACAGTCGTTCCAACTGGTACGTCTGGTCTCCCCGCCCAGATCACCAGCAATGCCGCGTCGGACCTGAACATCCGCGGGGACGGCAAGGCCATCATACGCGGCAACGAGGGCGTCAACATCATGGGCCGCACCGTCGAGTTCCGAATGGGCGGCGACATTGAGCTCAGAGCCGTAAGTAGAAGCGCACGCAGTCGCGTCACACTAAAACCCGCGACGCAGCTGCTTCTGAGCTTCTCTGTACGTAAAATATAAACGTGTCCTTGCTCGCAGGAGAACAGCATCGTGCTGAACGGCTCGGTCATGTTCAACGCCACGCGCATCCCCAACTCGGCGGGCGACATCTACTTCGACGAGGGCGTGGAGCGCTACAAGCTGTGCATGTGCGCCGACGGCACGCTGTTCCGCGTGCAGGTCAAGTATCCCAACATGGGCTGCCAGACCTCAGACAACCCGTGCCGAAACACCCACCAAGGACTGTAACCCCCAACCCCTGCCTCCCTATCACAAAAAGAAGGAAAAAAAAACTGTATTCATGGATTACATGATCACAGGCGTTTGGAAGATGCAGTGTTTTGTTTTACCATCCAGTATTTTTATTATTATTATTTATATCCTTGAGGGTTGCACAGGGAATTATTTGGCAGCTGTGTGTGCGTGTGTGTGACGTGTTTACTGACCACTAAGTGATTAGTAGGATTTATGCACTGCAGTCATGCTCAAAGCTCTCAAGCTGTCAATCATTACATTGGCTTCACAAGAAGAGTTTCATCTAGAAAAGATAGATTGTGCTTTACACTCGCCAGACATCTGTACAATCTAATAAGCTCATATGATCAAAATGTTGTACACGGCTCTCACAGGTTTGATGCGGTTAATTGATATCGTTCAATTCACCCTCCTGTTATACTGCGGGTCAAATTTATCCGTTAAAAAGAAAAACATATTTGGATCCCAAAATTAAAGATCAGATTAAATAAATAAACTCTCTGGGCCCTTTTTTGTTCTTTAAATTATACATATTTTCCAAAACAAAAAAAAATAAATGTGTCATTTGATCCATTCTATTCTATCATATTTTTATATTTTATTTTATTTTGCAGGTCAAATCAAGGTGTCTAAAAAAAAAATTAAAAAAAATCGAAGAAAATATTTTTTGAAATAAAAATTCTCCTCATGGCCTTACTTTCGTTCTATTAAAAAATCTTCACGGCCCTATTCAAATGCCAGATTTTTGTGACATTAAAAAAATAGCACGATTTTAAAGAAAATGTCAGGAAAAGCCTACTAGAACATCTGAAGTTCACTTGAGGTTAATCAAAGACACTTTAAATGGTTCCGGGTGTATGCTGACTCAGTAAAAGAAAGTGAATGTGATTGGTTAATTCTGCACACCCCCATAACTCCAATGATATAATTTCATTTGTTTATTTTTACTTCCCCCCCCCCTTTGAAAATATTTTTTCGTCAAATTAAGCTGAGGATAGGTCACATTAATGGAGGAAAATATTTTGAAATGCCTCATCTTGGTCTCGCTTCACAAAAACTTGGTATTTGAACAGAGATGTGTGAAATTTTTATATCCATTGTGTTTGGATTTTTTTATGTCTAAAAATATCCAGCACATTTTTTCCTTTTTTTAATGACTAAATACATCCAGCACATGCATGTTGACCCAAGAACATTTTTGGTGTTCTCAAGAACCAAAACACAGCAGGAGGGTGAATACTACCAAATTTGAGTATTATTTGGATTTTGTACAATCTCAATGAGGATTGATGGGAAAATGTGTAACAATTTCTTGACAACATTGTGGTGTGTTTGTTTGAATAAAAACGTGGCGTGTCAGCGTGCTGCTGCCGCTTATCTTGTGTTTTGATTAAAGGTCTCGGGGCGTGCGCGTGCTCCATTTGAAAACGACGGCCTTTTATGACGGAATACAATCCGGGCTCGGCCGTCAGGAACGCACTTATCTCGACGTAAAAGGGGAAGACAGTGAGGCATTAACTGCACGTAAATGATTGAACGGCGTCTTTGGGCGGGTTCGTACTCGAGCAGACTTTGGCCGTCAAGTTTCAAGCAGTTCAATTGTGCAGCGCGGATGGTCGGTGTGGATGATTAAGATGGCTCGGGTTCCGATCGTTTCGGTGCTGTTGCTCACCTGCTTTGTGCTCCATTGCCACTCGCTGATTTGCCCGCCGTCCTGCTCGTGCCGAGGGACCTCCGTATTGAACTGCTCCTTGGCGGGCCTGTGGACTATGCCAAAAATTCCGGACTCTGTGGCCCATTTGGACGTCTCTCACAACGGCCTCGAACGGGTGGCGCTGCTGCGCCGGACGCTCCCTCGGCTACGCAGCCTAAGCTTGGTTAACAACAGCATTGCGCGCCTGTCACTCTGCATCCACGGGCGCGTCCAGGGTCGAGGGTGCGCCTCATGGGCACCTAACCTCCACCTGTTATCTGTGGAGAGGAATCAGCTGCGACGACTACCACGGGGTGAGTCACAAGAGTCGTAAATGCTTCATTAGGTACATCGGATCACGGCGTTCAAAAGTTATGGCACTCGAAGAGAAAACAGACCTCCCCCAAGGCCAAACAACAGGTTCAGGTTTACATGTACAAATAAGGGTAGGAAGAAGATGGTGGCATCACATACAAACCAAAGTGAGTGATTTGAAAGATTTCACTCACCCATCTCAGCTCCTAATGTGGGGCGATCCAAAGTTGACCACTCTGATGCAGAATTGTAGATTGCATTTAGTTTTAAGCCTCGACTTTGGAACAACCAGAAGACCCTCACCGGAGCCTCTGAGGCTGCAGGATGGCTCATATGTGATTAGAAGTTCATTTTGATTTGAGCTAGGCTCAAAACTAATCAGCTAATTTTTTTGGGTAATCAATTCTAATAAAAACTGGAGGAGAAACTTGGGGTCCTTTGATGTTGTTTGTTAGATTGAGTGAGCCGCCTAAAAGTAAAACCAGGGGTTGGTGGAAAAATGTTCGATATGAGAAAAAAAATAGGGGTTGGATACTTAAAAAAAAAACAACAACAAAAAGGGCAGGGTGTCTTGGGTTGGGTGTCAAAAAAAAGGGGGAGCAAAGGTTTAAGTGTAAAAGTAGTTTTAGGTGTAAAACTATGATAGGTTTAAGTGTTAAAAAGTGTTAAAAAAAATGCTTGGTGAGTGAACACAAATGTTTTTTTTTCCCCTATGTCATCTAACGGCTCTGCAGAGGCTAAGAGAATTAAAAAAAAAAAAATACGCATTTAACAGTCTCTCCAAATCCTGAAAATGGATTGACTGGGGGTTTTCAAAAATGGCATATTTTTGTGGAAGACCTGAAAACAAAGTCCAGCCCAGCCATAAGTTGTTTCCTACACAGTGGTGATCATCACCGATACAATTAGTAATTCCCCAAAAAGTCCAAAGAACGAGCAAAATACAGTACGCTTGTAGAGCTTATGCATCTAGTGATGAGCCTTTTCTTCTTCACGGTCTGCTGTGCTCGAAAGGCTTGAGTGCTTTGGAGGCCTTATGTTCGATATGAGAAAAAAAATAGGGGTTGGATACTTAAAAAAAAAACAACAACAAAAAGGGCAGGGTGTCTTGGGTTGGGTGTCAAAAAAAAGGGGGAGCAAAGGTTTAAGTGTAAAAGTAGTTTTAGGTGTAAAACTATGATAGGTTTAAGTGTTAAAAAGTGTTAAAAAAAATGCTTGGTGAGTGAACACAAATGTTTTTTTTTCCCCTATGTCATCTAACGGCTCTGCAGAGGCTAAGAGAATTAAAAAAAAAAAAAATACGCATTTAACAGTCTCTCCAAATCCTGAAAATGGATTGACTGGGGGTTTTCAAAAATGGCATATTTTTGTGGAAGACCTGAAAACAAAGTCCAGCCCAGCCATAAGTTGTTTCCTACACAGTGGTGATCATCACCGATACAATTAGTAATTCCCCAAAAAGTCCAAAGAACGAGCAAAATACAGTACGCTTGTAGAGCTTATGCATCTAGTGATGAGCCTTTTCTTCTTCACGGTCTGCTGTGCTCGAAAGGCTTGAGTGCTTTGGAGGCCTTGGAGGTCCTGCGCCTGTCATTCAACAGCATCACCACCATCCAGCTTGGAGAACTGGACAACTTGCGAGGGCTGAGGGAGCTTCACCTCCAACACAACCTCATCAGCAGCTTGCACTCGGACGCCTTCCGACATTTACAACAGCTCAAGGTAAATAAGCACATAATACAATGGTAGTATCTAGTATATAATGTGTCAGTATCGGTGATACCGGTTCAATATTGATATTAAATCTTGCATCTGCACAGTAATCCCTAAAGATTGGCTGCAGTCTTGGCAAGGAACGTACAGTATTTGGACCTCAGTCATCGACCGGGATGGTTCAATTGTCACTAAAAAGTTTCTTTTTTTTTTTAATTCAGGAAAATGATATTAGCTTGCATTTTCAATGTTATCAAATTGTTTTGGAGAAATCAGTATTTAGAAACGGCCATTGGAAATTATCAATATGGCCACGTGCCCTTCCACTTCCTCCATAACTTGGTGAGATTCGCGACAGGGGCCGGAGACTATTTGTTCATTTAAAGTCATTATAAATACATCACTGTCAAAATGACAGGGATCAATCAGTCCGAAAATACATATGGACTTCTCAGCTCTACTTTGGCCCATTTCATCCTCAAAAAATGTGTCACGACGACTAACCTTTCCATGGCTGATTTAAAAGAGAAAGTTTTCTTTGATCAAGATACACAAAAACAATCAGAGGGGCTTTTCGTAAGCGGAATTGTTCATAGGTCGCTAAATGTCTGAAAACAATGATCAATCACCACCACCATTCAGATGCACATTCCTACTCTTGGCCACTTTCTAAAAATAAATTAAAAAAACGATCAGCACAATGCTTTAGTTTTGGTGGTGGTCATAGTGTGTTTTCCTCATAAGGGCTCACATTTGATGTCAATTAATTCAAAATACGGTGCAAATCATTTTTTATAATTTCACAAATTGAAGTGGACAAGAGCAAGAGTGTGCATATGAATTTTGGTGGCGATTAATCACTGTTTCAGACACTATATGACAACTGAACTGAACAAACCGAGCCAGGGAAACCTAAGTGCCAATGTTGAGCCTATTCACGTGTCTCATTAAAGCTGTGCTTTCACCAACATTTGCCTCGTGGCAGATCCTCAATGTGAGCTTCAACATGTTGACCAGCCTCAACCCTTCAATCTACCTCTCTCTACACACCATCGGGGCGGACGTTCACCTGGCTGGAAACAGGTGGCGCTGTGACTGCAACATGCGTAGCATAAGAAGATGGATGGCTTTAGACAGGAGCAGAGGCTCACGCTCCTGGGATTTGGTTTGCGCTTCGCCGCCCATTCTTGCCGGTGTGGACATTGTCAAAGTGGAGGACGATGATCTGAACTGTTGGAGTGCTGAAAAGGAGCCAAAGCTCCACCAAGATGTGACGGTCCATAGGGATTCCCAGGTTCTGTTGTCCTGCGCCACAAAAGGTAACGACTAAACATATCCTCCACACCGTCAGAAACCAAATAAACAACTCATGTGTTTTATTCCCAGGCGGATTATGGCGGACACCCGCTGGTTTGGTACCTGCGAATCAACCTCAGTCTGGTCTCCTCGTCAGTGCCATCACAGAGAAAAACACTGGTCTTTATGTGTGTTTGTCCGAGGACTACCAGGTGGTGTCTGTCTTTCACCTCCATATTGCAGGGACTAGCAGAAAAGCCCGAAGTGTAACTGAAAGAATCACAGGTGGAGAAAGGAGTCAAACCGTGACACAGTCCGACTTCACGTTAGCCGTGTGTTTGTCTGTGTTCATCACCTTTCTGGTCGCCTTCATCCTGGGAGTTCTCCTAAGACCTTGCATCGACATGCTCTGGAAGAGGATCACCAGGAAGAAAACATCCAACCCAGTCTCATCAGCCGAAGAGAGACAATATGACAACGAGGCCTACTCGGCAGGCGAGGACCCAGAGGAGTTGCGGCCTCATAGGGAAAGGAGAGTCACGTTCAGCACAGTGGACTTCCAGGAAGAAAACAATGTTAAATATCACAACAAGGAACGTGAAACAAAAGCAAACGGTACAGTGGTTGAATGTGAAATGGTCACAGATGGAGATTCAGGAAGTGAGATAAGTCTGGAGAGAAGGTATTCAGAGGATACAAGAGGTCTTTCAGACCAAAACCTCAAGAGGAGGGGAAGTTTGTCGGATTCCTCACTGTCTGACAAGGACCAAAAAGAAGTGGACACTGTTCAGCAGAACTCAACAGAATTACCTCCAATTTCCATAAATAAAACTCCAGGATTTGCCTTTGAGCCCATTCTGCACCCAAACAATGGCCGAATTTTAGCAGAGGAACCAGAGGATGATGAGGAACAGTTTGAGTTCAGCGACTGCAGCACATCTCCGAGAACCAGCAGCCCCGTGGGTTCTTATAACTACACCAAACAAATTATGCCAAGGCTGAACAGGAAGGACTCATCCAACTCCAGTTCATATATGAGCGACGACGAACCTTCGGAATACACCGTCAACCCAGATCTGCAGGAAGAGGAGGATATGAGGAGGAGGTACGCTAAAAGTGGACATGAACCTAGCCTGGATCAGGACACAGAACTTTGGTGGCCTGCAGTCGATCTTGAGCATTCCATGCGCGTCCAGAGACGTTTGGATATTAAAGTTTGTGAAGATGATCGTCAAACTACAAGCTTCGGCGAGAAGCCCGGGACAGAGATGGTGGTCACAGCAGGAGTCACACCTTCAATTTATTTATCCAGCAGTGACAGTGAAGAAACAAGGCGACCTGTTACTGTATCGCCAAGACTTGATTCACAAACACAGAGGCCAGCGCTTGATCTTGAGCATACCATCTCAGTCCAGAGATATTCAGATATTAAAGCACCGTTACGAAGATCAGATTCCTCATCTGGCACTGACTCTGAGGATGGATCGATTCACCTCACAGAGGCACCACAAAAGTTTGACAGAGCAGGGCTTCTAGAGCAAGAAGTTCGCCTTGGGAAAGACACAAGGTGGCCTGCTATCGACCTTCAGCGAATTCCTCGCATTGAAAGGCATCTAAATGTAAAGTCAACACTGCCTGATTCTTCCTCGAGTAGTGATAGTGAGGTCGTAAGAAGGACCACCATGTTACAGCCTCCATCTAAAGTATCACTAAGTTATGATGCACAAGCAACCTGGCCCGCTGTTGATCTTGAGGATTCTTTCCAAATTAAGAGGAGACTGGATGTCAAAGCAACATCACCAACTTTGGATGCATCAATCGACAGCGACAGCGATGATGTAGTGAGTAATTACATCACAAAACCGGAACAAGAAACCAGAAATGTAACTCGGTACCCCATTAAAGCACCTCCAACACCAAATTATTACCCACAATCACCTTGGCCCTCAATTGATCTTGAGGACTCTTTCAGAATCAAGAGGCGTCTCAACGTCAAAATACTTTCGCCACCTTCAGATTCACCATCCATCAGAAACAGAGATTATGGAACAACTCATGACATCACCAAACAGGAACAAGGGCTTGCTAAAGTAACCAGGTCCACCACAAAAGCATCATCAACACCAAGCTATTACCCACATGGACGCTGGCCTACAATTGATCTTGAGGATTCTTTCAGAATCAAGAGGCGTCTCAATGTCAAAGGACCTCCATCACCTTCCGATTCATCATCCAGCAGCGACAGTGAGCATGAAACAATTCATCACATCACAAAACATGAACAAAGACCCACTCAAGTAACTAGATACTCCTCGAAAGAATTACCAACACCAAATTATGACCCACATGGACCCTGGCCCACTCTTAATCTTGAGGATTCATTCCGAATTAAGAGGAGACTAAATGTCAAAGCAACATCACCAACTTTAGACGCATCATCCGACAGCGACAGTGATGATGTAGTGTCGAATTATATCACAAAACCGGAACAAGTAACCAGAAATGTAACTAGGTACCCCATTAAAGCAGCTCCAACACCAAATTATGACCCACATGGACCCTGGCCCACTCTTAATCTTGAGGATTCATTCCGAATTAAGAGGAGACTAAATGTCAAAGCAACATCACCAACTTTAGACGCATCATCCGACAGCGACAGTGATGATGTAGTGTCGAATTATATCACAAAACCGGAACAAGTAACCAGAAATGTAACTAGGTACCCCATTAAAGCAGCTCCAACACCAAATTATGACCCACATGGACCCTGGCCCACTCTTAATCTTGAGGATTCATTCCGAATTAAGAGGAGACTAAATGTCAAAGCAACATCACCAACTTTAGACGCATCATCCGACAGCGACAGTGATGATGTAGTGTCGAATTATATCACAAAACCGGAACAAGTAACCAGAAATGTAACTAGGTACCCCATTAAAGCAGCTCCAACACCAAATTATGACCCACATGGACCCTGGCCCACTCTTAATCTTGAGGATTCATTCCGAATTAAGAGGAGACTAAATGTCAAAGCAACATCACCAACTTTAGACGCATCATCCGACAGCGACAGTGATGATGTAGTGTCGAATTATATCACAAAACCGGAACAAGTAACCAGAAATGTAACTAGGTACCCCATTAAAGCAGCTCCAACACCAAATTATGACCCACATGGACCCTGGCCCACTCTTAATCTTGAGGATTCATTCCGAATTAAGAGGAGACTAAATGTCAAAGCAACATCACCAACTTTAGACGCATCATCCGACAGCGACAGTGATGATGTAGTGTCGAATTATATCACAAAACCGGAACAAGTAACCAGAAATGTAACTAGGTACCCCATTAAAGCAGCTCCAACACCAAATTATGACCCACATGGACCCTGGCCCACTCTTAATCTTGAGGATTCATTCCGAATTAAGAGGAGACTAAATGTCAAAGCAACATCACCAACTTTAGACGCATCATCCGACAGCGACAGTGATGATGTAGTGTCGAATTATATCACAAAACCGGAACAAGTAACCAGAAATGTAACTAGGTACCCCATTAAAGCAGCTCCAACACCAAATTATGACCCACATGGACCCTGGCCCACTCTTAATCTTGAGGATTCATTCCGAATTAAGAGGAGACTAAATGTCAAAGCAACATCACCAACTTTAGACGCATCATCCGACAGCGACAGTGATGATGTAGTGTCGAATTATATCACAAAACCGGAACAAGTAACCAGAAATGTAACTAGGTACCCCATTAAAGCAGCTCCAACACCAAATTATGACCCACAATCACCTTGGCCCGCAATTGATCTTGAGGATTCTTTCAGGATCAAGAGGCGCCTCAACGTCAAAGTACTTTCGCCACGTTCAGATTCATCATCCAGCAGAAACAGGGATCATGGAACAACTCATTACATCACCAAACAGGAACAAGGACTTGCTAAAGTAACAAAGTCCTCCCTTAAAGCGTCATCAACACCAAGCTATTACCCACATGGACGCTGGCCTACACTTGATCTTGAGGATTCTTTCAGAATCAAGAGGCGTCTCAATGTCAAAGGACCTCCATCACCTTCCGATTCATCATCCTACAGCGACAGTGAGCATGAAACAATTCATCACGTCACAAAACATGAACAAAGTCCCACTCAAGTAACTAGATACTACTCAAAAGAATCACCAACACCAAATTATGACCCACATGCACCCTGGCCCACTCTTAATCTTGACGATTCTTTCCGAATTAAGAGGAGACTAGACATCAAAGCTAGGTCAACAACTTTAGATGCACCATCCGACAGCGACAACAATGAGGTAGTGACTAATTACATCATAAAACCGGAACAAGAAACCAGAAATGTAACTAGGTACCCCATTAAAGCACCTCCAACACCAACTTATGACCCACAATCACCTTGGCCCTCAATTGATCTTGAGGATTCTTTCAGAATCAAGAAGCGTCTCAACGTCAAAGTACTTTCGCCACCTTCAGATTCACCATCCATCAGAAACAGAGATTATGGAACAACTCATGACATCACCAAACAGGAACAAGGGCTTGCTAAAGTAACCAGGTCCACCACAAAAGCATCATCAACACCAAGCTATTACCCACATGGACGCTGGCCTACACTTGATCTTGAGGATTCTTTCAGAATCAAGAGGCGTCTCAATGTCAAAGGACCTCCATCACCTTCCGATTCATCGTCCTACAGCGACAGTGAGCATGAAACAATTCATCACGTCACAAAACATGAACAAAGTCCCACTCAAGTAACTAGATACTACTCAAAAGAATCACCAACACCAAATTATGACCCACATGCACCCTGGCCCACTCTTAATCTTGCGGATTCTTTCCGAATTAAGAGGAGACTAGATGTTAAAGCAACATCACCAACTTTAGATGCATCATCCGACACCGACATGACCAATCGCATCACAGAACTGGAGCAAGAAACCATAAAACTAACCAGGTACCCCATGACAGCACCTTCAAAACAAAGTTATGACCCAGAATCACCTTGGCCTTCGATTGATCTGGAGGATTCATTCAAAATCAAGAGACGTCTCAATGTCAAAGGACCTTCACCACCTTCAGATTCATTGTCCAGCAGCAACAGTGAGCATGAGACAATTCAACACATCACAAAACATGAGCAAAGACCCACTCATGTAACTAGATACTCCTCTAAAGAATCACCAACGCCAAATTATGACCCACATGCAAACTGGCCCACTCTTAATCTTGAGGATTCTTTCAGAATTAAGAGGAGACTAGATGTCCAAATAACATCACCAACTTTAGATGTATCATCCGACAGCGAGAGCGATGATGAAGTGTCTAATTACATCACAAAACCAGATGAAGAAACCAGAAAAGTAACTAGGTACCCCATGAAAGCACCTCCAACACGAAATTATGACACACAATCACCTTGGCCCTCAATTGATCTTGAGGATTCTTTCAGAATCAAGAGGCGTCTCAATGTCAAAGGACCTTCACCACCTTCAGATTCATTGTCCAGCAGCAACAGTGAGCATGAGACAATTCAACACATCACAAAACATGAGCAAAGACCCACTCATGTAACTAGATACTCCTCTAAAGAATCACCAACGCCAAATTATGACCCACATGCAACCTGGCCCACTCTTAATCTCAAGGATTCTTTCGGAATTAAGAGGAGACTAGATGTCAAAGCAAGATCAACAACTTTAGATGCATCATCCGACAGCGATGATGTAATGACTAATTACATCACAAAACCGGAACAAGAAACCAGAAAAGTAACTAGGTACCCCATGAAAGCACCTCCAACACTAAATCATGACACACAATCACCTTGGCCCTCAATTGATCTTGAGGATTCTTTCAGAATCAAGAGGCGTCTCAACGTCAAAGTACTTTCGCCACCTTCAAATTCATCATCCAGCAGAAACAGGGATCGTGGAACAACTCATGACATCACCGAACAGGAACAAGGACTTGCTAAAGTAACCAGGTCCTCCACAATAGCGTCATCAACACCAAGCTATTACCCACATGGACGCTGGCCTACACTTGATCTTGAGAATTCTTTCAGAATCAAGAGGCGTCTCAACATCAAAGGACCTTCACCACCTTCAGATTCACCGTCCAGCACAGACAGTGAGCATGAAACAATTCATCACATCACAAAACATGAACAAATACCCACTCATGCAAATAGATACTCCTCTAAAGGATCACCAAAACCAAATTATGACCCACATTCACCTTGGCCGACTCTTAATCTTGCGGATTCTTTCCGAATTAAGAGGAGACTAGATGTCAAAGCAACATCAACAACTTTAGATGCATCATCCGACAGCGCGAGTGATGATGAAGTGACTAATCACATCACAAAACCAGAACAAGACAACAGAAAAGTAACTAGGTACCCCATTAAAGCACCTTCAACAAGTTATGACCCACAAGCAACTTGGCCCATGGTTGATCTTGATGGTACTTTCCGAATTAAGCGGCGTCTAAATGTCAAACAACTGTCAGCAACTCCAGATTCATCTTCCAGCAGCAACAGCAAAAATGAGATGACATTTCACCCCACAAAACAGAAGCAAGGAGTCACAAACACAATCAGGTACCCCATGAAACCGAGTTATGACCCAGAAGTACCTTGGCCATCACTTGATTTTAAGGATTCCTTAAGGATTAAGAGACGATTAGATTTCAAAGCACCATTACCAACTTCAAATTTAACATCCAGCAGTGAAAGTGAAGATGAAAAAATGTACTACACCCAAAAACAGGGCCAAGGGACAACCAAAATAACCAGTTATGCCCCTAAAGCACCAAGTTATGGACCACAATCTACATGGCCCACACTTGATCTTGAAAATTCTTTCCGAATTAAGAGGCGTCTGGAAATCAACGCACCTTCACCACACTCAGATTCTTTGTCCAGCAGTGACCGTGAGTATGATGTCACTCATCACATTATAAAACAGAACCTTGGGTCCCGAAAAACTCACCATCCCATAAACGTATCTCCAAGAATAAGTTCTGACTCAGAATCATCTTGGCCCTCACTTGACCTGGAGGATTCTTTCCGAATTAAAAGGCGTTTAAATTTCCAAGTGCTGTCACCAACCTCAGATTTATCATCCATCACCATGAAACAAGGGACCGCAAATTTAGCTCGGTACGCCATTGCAGGATTGCCAAAACCTGGGCATGATCCACAAGGACTTTGGTCATTGCTTAACCTTGAGGATTCTTTCCGAATCAAGAGGCGTTTAGAAATTAAAGCTCCTTCACCAGCGTCGACCTACAGTAGCAACAGTGAGGAGGACACATTTGTGGATGGACAAAGACAAGGGTACTATGAGAGACAGAAGGGAAGGTCTTCAACTGAACCCTCCAATCGTCATTTCCTGGAAACAGAACATCCGACACTTGATTTTCATACAGTCAAACATCTAGATTTCGAAGCACCATCCCCCACTTCTGCTACCATGGGGAATGAAATAAACCAGTACCCTGGATCATTGCAGCATGGCCTCGATGGTGACAGTGACAGCAAGGCAACAGTCTTCAGGGGGACATCCGTAACTTTGCACACCACAAGCCAGGACCAACAAATAAATCTTGGACGTAATCTTCGACTCAAAAGGCGTCTGGACATTAAAGCCTCGCTGCTGCCTCCTGTTAGGATTTCTAGCAGCGATACCATGGTAGCATCAAACCATGTTGAATCTCCTGGAGTTACACCATGGCCCTCAGTGGAACTCGGTAGAGATACTCGTGTTAGGTGGCGCTGGGACATGAAAGCAGCACCTGCTGATGTGTCACATGTTGTTAAACAACCAAGCAGCTCAAACGAACAAGACGATACTAATGCTGATGCCACGGAGACACAGGCACTGCCCCGGGTATATTTGGGTGTCAACAAACGTTTGGATATCAAAGTGTCATCTCCGCAACAACAATTGGCTGCTGATCAAATTTCTCCTGAGGCTTACTATTCCAAATCAAATTTCTCCACAAGTGACAGTGACGAAGAGAACCAAGATGAAAAAGCCTCGCTAAAGGTGGCAGACAAGAGTTCCATTAAATCTCCTGCGATCATTGTCCCTCGCAGTCCCAAAAATGATTCTAACATCAAATTAGAAAAATATGTCATTGTTCCCGAGACCGCGGCGGACAAACCCAGCAATGCGAGCCCAGAGATAAACTCAGAGCTCCAGTCGCGGTGGGCCAACATGCATCTTGGGTTCTCTCGCTTCAGAAAGCGTCTTGAAATCACATCGCATGCATGCGAACCACCTGTGGTGCCTCTCAGTGAAAGTGACCCCGAGCAAATAAAACAAAAGAATACAGGACTTGGCTGGCAAGGAAACACACGCACAGAATCACCTCTAACCGCTGCACAAGTTCACAACAACGCCGACCAACCAGCAGTGGGTCCGACAAGTGAAGCAAAGTCAAGCGTAACAGGTCTGCCACGTATAAGGAGATACCTGGATGTAAAGGCTCCTGCTACTCTAAAACAAGGTCTGGATTCATCAAGCAGCAGTAAAAATGAAGCTGACTCCACAGAATATTCACAATGGAGAGGAAAGCCTCATGATCTCAGGCTTCCTTCTTCGTATGCAACTCGGACTGTCGAGACCCAACAGACAGCGGAGAAGTCGCAAGTTGCCACTGTGCCAAGGCAGCCTTCCTCCGACAGTAGTGAAGACGAGACGGGTGAGGCTGCAGAAGCCAGGGAGATGACGGAGGTTCCGAGGTCAGTTCCACCAGACAGCGACTCGCCGATACCATACCGACGTTTAATTATCAAACCTTCGTCTCTACCAAATGATACCTCCACCAGGGATCAACATACCGATGGAATGACTACACTACATGGTTCCTCTTATAGTACCAGATATCAACTCCCATCTCTTGCCCCGAAGATCATTCCTAATCCAAGATCTGGGGATTATATGTCCTCCACCAGGGAAATATATTCTTACACCTATAGTGCCAGACCCTATACGGCTAGAAACCAGACCCTTTATGTAGCCCCGAAAACCATTCCCAGTCTAGGCTCTGGGGATGATGATACTCCCCTCACCAGGGATTCATCAGATGTGAACATAAGGACAACACAAAGTGGTTCCTCCTATAGTGGCAGATACCAGATCCCATCTCTTGCCCCCAGACCCTTCAGGAACTCGACTGAGGGCCCACCAGCTGCAATACGTTGGACAGGACTGAGGACCCGCCTGTCTGATCCCTCCAAACATCCGGACTCAAGCCTACCATCTCCACTTGGAGAACTCCCAAAAACTCAAGCTGGGTCCCTCACTACGGAGGTAGCACAGGAAAACAGGAGCACAACCGTGACAAGATCTCTTCACCTAGGCAGCAATTCCTTGTCATTGTTCGGCACCGATGAGATGTGGAAGGGCGCATCAGAAAAGACAGAAAGAAAAGGACTTCGCGCCTTGAAAGCCATGTCGGATGAAAGACAAACATGGGACAAGGATGAAAAAGTGAAACACTTCCAACCAAGTGGCAATTCTGGGAATTCCAATCAGAACAGATCAGAAGACCTCGTCTCTTATACCTCAGCGAGCATCGGAGAAGACCTTCCGTACGACATCCTCCGCTACAGAACGCATGCACTGACACAGGAGATTCCGCCCCCTGTTCCGACAACACCACTGCCAGATGAGGCCGTGGAGTTAACGCGGAATTCCAAAAGCTCTTATACCCCAAGCATTAGCCAAGTTTAAATTTGACCCCCAAAAAATGTAAAGCCTTTTGAAACTGTTTTCAGGGTGCAAAGCTGTCAGCTATTTTACTGTCAGACAGACAACATTCTGATTTGTTTTCCGATTAATTTATATGTACATGTCATGAAAATTGGTAATATATGTTTGTAAGCTTTGGTCCCAAGGAGGAATCAAAGTTCATGAGTTGTAAATTGGTGTATTTCTGCAAATCATCATTAGGGGATTAAAAAAAAAAAACAAACCTCAACATAAATTCAACCGTTTTGGTTTGCAGCAGACATTTTGGGCAAATTCCAGGGCCTGTACTTCTTCCAATATTTCACCGATAGCGTACGCTCAATCGCCAACCTTTTTGAAAATTGACACAGAACAATTAAATGCTCTTCAACTAAACTGTTGTCATCCACACAATAACTTTGTTCAACAAAAATTGGTCTGTGTCCCATGGGATTCCTATAAATTGTGCCTTGGCTCACTAAAGGTTTGGAAACACTCTTTCAATGTTCAATCCAGTGTCATGTTAATCCGAGTAACTGAGTATTCTTACATTGAATAAGATTGCAGTGCTTCCTATTTATGTCTATTTTTTCCATGATTCTCTTAACGTTGTTTTTGTCTTTTTGCAGATTTTCTTTGTTCGAAATAAAGTGCTCCAAACAAGCCGAGTGGAGTTAAGTTAATAAACCCTTTTTATTTAAGTATATAGACATTGGTTATAGTGAAAACCGACATATAGACACATAGTTTTACGTACATATATACAGTTGGGACAAGCACGTTCACCTTCCTGCGTTGTCACAAGATCATCTGAGAACATGAATTACATCTATACACAACCGCTTGGTGTCGATTTCACATACAGTGAAAGCAGTGGTGGTGTCATTTGCGTGTGCACGCCAAGTCAACGGATGCACTGTCCAAAAAAAACCCCCCAAAAACGAACTTGTACACCACGCAAGCTTTTTCGCGTGGCGTCAACAGAGTGAACGTTTGTTCCACCATGAGGTCACACCTATTTTTTTTCCCCAGGTCTGAACATCAACAACGGTAAACACAATCATGAGTTCCCGTCGGGAAACCAAACAATAAACATGATGGTGAATATCGCCCCCCAAAAAAAAATCTAAGTACAAAACATTTGCACAAATTTCTGTACAGAAAAAAACAACCAAACGGAAAAATGGCTCTGACAGGATCTGCATGCAAATATTAAAATAATTTGGACGAGTCAGCATCACAGCACAGCCAAAGACAGAAATGTGTACAAAAAAAGAAACCCCAGCAGAGTGCTATTATACAGTTCCGACCTATCGCACGTTCCCATAAGTGATGCTAGAAATGCTCGTTCCAACACTCTGCGTGGGGAAGTGAGGGATATGCTACCTGAAACTATCGGACTAAAAGGGAAGACTGAACCACACGTGGGGTAGGAAACTGGCAGCGAGTTTGACGTCAAACAGGCTCCCAATCTTTACACATATATACATCTGTTATCTACGTGTGTGGTAAAGTTTGAGGCACAGCTAAGTTAATGCATCCATTGGTCCGGTGTGGGGACCAATAAATGCTGAGGAGGGGGCCGGAGGGGAGGCCTCTCTGGCCCACCCAAATGGAATTAGCAGCAATGTGGTTTTTGGTGCTAAAAAAAAAAAAAACAACAAAAAAATGACTGGCACTAATCAAGTAAACACCACAGGCAGCAGAAACCTGCGCCATGGGAACCCACCATGTGACTTTTTTTTTTCTTTTCCTAAATGTGCTCACCTTTTAAGACTCTCCTTTGACTTCTCCCACACTTCCTGGTGGAATATGGTAAAGGAGGGTTTGGGCTAAGCCAACTTGACCAAATCTGGAAACGTGCACCCACCAGCTACCCACCCTCACCCGTGGCTGTTTGTTTTTATTTGTTTTCACGTTGATTCTCATTGTTGCGGTCGTCACAGTATTTCTGATGTTCGCTTATTATTATTATTATTATATTTCTTTGCGGTTGTTGCTAGGACATCTGTCTTTCCTTGTACCATTCCACAAACTCGTCCAACAAGACAGGCCCTGGTGGGAGAGAAAGAAGATTTTGGTTGGCGAAGTAGAGAGTTGAGTTGGGCCCCAAAGAGCACGAATTGACGTTTTAAGGTTAAAAATTAAAAAAAATTCTGAGTGGGAATTCTTTTACGCCCCCTAGTGGTCGGGTTTAATGCGGGGCTGACTTACAGGCTCCGTCCTCGTCGTAGTTGCTGAGGTCCAAGTTGATTGTCCGGCTGAACTCCAACACGTTGCACCACTGGTCTTTGTTGACTACTTTGTACTTGGATTGCTGGGGAATCAAACAGGAGCACAATGGCATCACTTCTCTCCATGTCAAAAGTTTTAACCCTATTTTTTTCCCCCCAACAGTAAAGGTCGGAGGACGCCGACGAAAGTGGAATTCCCACACAGTAGACCCCACTTATTAATTCGAAACATGGCAATAATCGAACGCTTCGCCTTTCGGCTCAGCCCCTTCATCACATCGTTTTCACACTGCTGCAATACTTTTTTAAAAACACTTGTGCAAATGTTATGAATGCTTGTGCAACATTTGAACCTGAGAAGAGGTCCTTTACCTTTATTAATTCCTCTCCGGCCGTCAACAGCTTGCCGTCCTTACCTCTAGAAATTGATTGAAGACGGGAAAAAGGGGCCACGTCTTTCCTAACAGAAGCCCCAGCATGCACTTAGCCGTGTTCAAGTCCAAACTCCTCTGATCCTTCTCCTGCCAAAGGGCGCACACACACACGCACATATTTTCTGAACACTCAATTTCTTAAAGCCAACACATTTCCATCAAACAGACTCGTAATGCCCCAGAAAGACCGACATTGAAATACAAATCCTTATAAATTTAAAAAAATGGTAGGAGAGCACCATTTGTTTCAAGTGGAACTCCTCTAGCTAATTTCAACATAGTTAGCATCAAAATGCCACAAGTTAGTGCTAAAGCACTGCTCCAATTTCCATTGCATATCTCCTGTAGTGAAGCCCCGCACACACACTGATTTCACTTTTAGGCAGACTCACCCTGGCAAAGTCAAAGGCGTATCGGTAAATGAGTTTAAAGCTGGTGCTGTCATTGAGGACGGACCTCAGAAAGTCCAGTGAGTTCCTCAGCCGCTCGGTAGAGTCGCACCTGGCAAAGGGCATGCAATAGATGGAGAACCAGACCAGAAAACACCTCCGACGCCCCACCCCTTCCCAAAAAAAAGGTCGCATACGTACTGCAGGGAGCCCATGCCCCTCAGCCACTCCTGCAGCGTGAAGTAGCCCATGCTCTGAGCGTCCAGCTTCCACGCCAGCACAAGCATCACCACCTGCAATACACAAAACACCACTCTGACCTTTGTGGGGATTTTTTTCCCATCATTAAAAAAAAAAAAATCTCAGGCATTTTTCAATTTGTTCTATTCTTAAAAAAAAAAAAAAAAGTCATCTTACATTCTCGGGTTCCACTCCAATGTCCTCGCAGAACTTCTCCATGCCCTCTGGTCCCACCACGTCGTCGCAGCCTATCAGAGACGAGCGTCACACATCACATGACCAAAACAATGCGATTTCAATCAAGAAAATGTCTGCTCACCCGCATATTCATAGAACCACTCCAAGCATCTCTTGTTGGAAAAGGTTTCCTCCTCACGAATGAGTGGAGAGTCAATTTTTCTGGAAGTGCACAAAGAACAGAAGGAAGTTTTTTGACCAATAATTGCAGGACCAATTAAAAAAAAAAAAAAGGGGGGGGGTTATTTGTCCCAGTATTCAAAGTTTTTAACCTGTTTTGTTTTGAAATATTTTTTCTATTATGTATTTTTGATTGTAATGTTTTGTGTATTTTTGTGATATTTGATTCGTATTTTTCTGATAATATATTGTCTAATCTTGCAAGAACAATACAAGCTAATAGTATAATATTTAATCATCAGTTTTTAAATAATTTTGAATTTTGAGCAAAACTATTTTTTTGTTTTGTCTGATAGTTTTAAACTATTTCTCAATATATTTGGAAAATCACCTGTTAAAATACGACTTTTTAAATCTTAAGAATTTTTTTTCTCCACAACTATGTATCTTTATCTAAATAATAATAGATTTGAAAAACTATGAATAACAACTGGTTGTTTATCATGTCTATAATTGCTTTTAAAATACACCTTGGTGTTGTAGATATTATAATAAAATATAATAATATCCTACCTGTCCTGGCGACTCTTCTTCGCTGACATGTCATCTCCGGCAGTGGGTCTCCTCTTTTTCCTCGGGGGCATGGCTCTGGAGCAACAAGCTAAAGAAAAAGATCATCATTATTTATATATATTTTTTTGTCCGATATTTGGGGTCAAATACTTTTGTACTGTTTAACATTTTTGTCAAAAATCTGTTTGTATTGAACATGTGATATTTTAGTCTAATATTGCTCTTCTCCGTTCTAATATTTTTGCGTAGTTTTCATAATCTGAATTGTTTATTAAATTTTTAAATTCCCTTAATCTTGAAAACAAAACAGCTTTTCTTTTATTATGATGAAGTCATGGGGGAAAAAGGTGTGAAGTTGAGAAAAATGAAATCTTAAGAACCAAGTATTTTGAGATATTTGCATGAAATGTTGGAGAAATTCATGTGCAACAAATGTTCTTTTTTTCCGAATGTGTTATTAGAACGGGAAAATTATTAGATGGGAAAATGGAGTAATACAAAATGGAGACAATTCTGGAGAATTGTCTTCAGGTGAGGAAAACAATGCGGATATTACCTGACGTGTGGCTCGCTTGCTCAGCGTCTTCCGTGAGGTTCTGCCAGAAGAGATGCCAAATGCTTTTAAGCCAAACAAGTATACGCTTCAGAAACAAACACAACATGTTCTCGTATGCATTTACCAGCCTGTGCAATGTGTGGTGGATCTTATGGATGCTGGCCAGTGTAGTCAAGTGAGAATTCAGATGAAAATCTGTCAAAAGAAATAATAATAAAAGACATGAGGTACGGTTATTATAAGCAATTGTGGACATGGAAGTCAAGTCAAGTACGAATAGACACGAAGAAGCACGAAGATGACGTCACTGCCTCGTCAAAAGTCCCGATCCCGTCCGTCGGCTAACGCTAGCGGTGTCAATAGATCTTCACGGCTTAGCTTTAGAGTGCCACGGCGTGATGTTTGAACACGAAACGAAGGGGCGGACTCTTGACGTGACTCGAAATTGTGTTTATTTGGTTTCCGGTTGGTCCTCAAATGCCAGTCCAAAGTGGTCGTTAAAAGATACACGGCGGGTCTAGCGTTAGCTTGTGTCCCGAAAATAACATCGCAACTTGCGCGGAGTTTGCAAAGTAGCAAAGCGAGGTGTGCGCTTGGGATTTGTGGTCCATTTCCGCCATGAGTCCCAATGGCGGCACTGCTCGGCCACAGCCTTCAAGAACTACAATTCCCAAAGACCTCGACGACACCAGCGATTCTTTCAAAGCCATCTGACCCCCCAACTTAACATTCAATCCGACTGATTTACAAGCTTTTTTTCGCATTATAAAAACGCCAATATTTGTTAAATACGACGCGCGAATGTCCTAGTTAGCATACGAGCCAATTTGGGTGATAAGAAGGCCGGCTAAACGCAGCGCGTAGGCCAAATGAAAGATGATAACTCAACTGCGTCACAATTTTCACTCTCTTAAAAACCTTCACACGCATTTGACACATTTCCACGTTCATTACGTCGTCCACTAAACTCCCTCGAGCCTTAACTCGTTCGTCCGTCAACGAAGACTGAAAGAGATGGAAAAAGATTGCAACCCAGGGAGAGAAGCATGAGACTAAAAATTCGCATTCGAAAAAAAAAACCCACATCGGCTGTAATCAAGCAATGCGGCCGGCAAGAGTGTACGTATAAATGATTTCACACAATCAAAAAGTGTGGTGTCGAACAGGAATTTGGAGTCAATTTAGACTCTGTACACGTCCTTTGTTGTCGCACTGGCAAATACAAAGAGACCGACGCAAAATAGCAGAAATTCATCGAACCCCGCAGAACTGGGGAAACACGGAAAGGCCATCGAGTCGAACGCTTTTCTATTCATGTTCGGAATGTGTTCTGTTCTGCCCGTAATGTGACCAAAAAAGCCGGTCGGGGCTACTACTTACTGGCAGCATCAGAGTGCATCTTTATGAAACACACAACTGTCTGTGGGAAGTCTGCAGACCGGCCAATGGGCGGAGCAGGTCGACGTAATGCCGCGCCGCGCGGACTGTGATTGGGACCGGGTCCATGCAACTTCCGCCCATGTTCCCATTCCATTGGTAACTCAAGCGGTCTCGTCAAAATCGCATCGACATTGACTCCTCCCATGGCCCTATCCGATTGGTCACTAATCCCAAAATAGGCGTCGCCCATCCTGATAGTTCATTGGTCCCGTTTTGGTTAATAGAAACATGATTGAAACTATCCTACCCGGATAAGTCCCACTTCCGCCTGTGCTACCATTCGATTGGATACTCGTGCTTTCTCCTCAAAAATAAATCGGTCAGGAGCCCGCCCACGCGCTAAAGTGAATGAGACAACCCCAAATCGGCATGTACCATCATTAATCAATATCGTACAATTAATTTCACAATGTAACTATAGATGCGTTTTTTTCATTTAATATTACACGTTAAATCGAGTTAAAATATGTTTTAAAAGGTGATTAAAACCGGGTCTATGTCACCACTAATTGTATTCACTTTTGATTGTCCCCTTGAGCTGTTTCGTCAAAAGTTCGGCCCCACCTACACGCCAATATGATTTGTCAGCTCTCCCACGACAAATAGGATTGGTCAATTTCTTCACGTGACCGCCACCCACCTTACAATCGAAGTAGTGGTGGTGTGTTTGTTGACATAAGCTCTCGCCAACGCCTTTGTCTTTTTGTCCCCACTTAGTCCACTGTATGACTGAATGAAAGTTCAGTATTTTTAACGACATTAAACATGTATTGTCAAATATCAACAGGACTTCATTGTCGCCGCAGTGCGTGCATGCGCATGCGCGTTTTTGGAATGTGGAAGGAAAAACGGAGTACCCGGAGAAAACCCACGCATGCACGGGGAGAATATACAAATTCAACATAGGAAGGCCGGAGCCGGAATTGAACCCTTATATCTCTGTATTGTGAGGCAGACGTGCTAACCAGTTGATTACCGTGCTGCCATTTTTCAAATTGTATCCATCCATTTTACAATATAAAGTTTTAAAATGTAATTGTTGAGTTACAACGACCCATCGTTCCATCCATCCATCCATCCATCCATTTTCTAATCGTTTATCGTCACGAGGGTCGCGGGCATGCTGGAACCTATCCCAGCTGTCTTCGGGCAGTAGGCGGCGTACACCATGAACGGGTTGCCATCCAATCACATTACCACAGTCGAATATTGGAAAATATTTACTTATGTAAGGGGTCAACTTGAAAAAAAAATAAAAGAAATGAACTAATTTCTGTTTTCCTTCATTTTGAAATTCTTTTTTGATTTGCAAACACAATGCAGTATATTAAATATATTTGGACATGAAGGGACACTTGTTGACACAGGGAGACAAAACGATCTTAAGAGATTTTTCAATACTGACCAAAAAAAAAAATCCACTTAATATTGACTGAATACTTAGCAATGATGCTTTAAAAAATCTTATTAAACAATTAGCTGATCACATTAGCCCATTATGATTTCTGGTGCCGCAAAGAAACAAAGGTAACATGAGTCTCAAATTTGTTTTCTGTGGCTTTTTGACTTCTGCAATGTGATATAAAAGTCTATGACCAATCAAAAATGTGTCCTCTGAGCTTTAGTCACAGACAACACCATAACACACTGCGCATTATTTTACGCACTCCACTAGAAAGTTCGCCCATTCAACTATTGCACTGAAATGTCTTACTAATCTCAAACAGCTTTCCGCACTTGGGCTTTTTGTTTGTTTTTCTGAGTTGGGGCGGTGCCCATAAAAATGCAGGGAGGAGTCTTCACAAAAGGTTCGGGCACAGAGTGAAAAGCTGCACAAGGAAACTCAGCGGCTCTAACATGAGTACAGAAGTGAGTGTGAAGAAAGAAAATGCAACAAAAGGCGAATGGAAGGTTCGTTTTCAACTTTTTGGGTGGCTTTGGGGAATATAGAGATTGTAAAGTAGAGGTCACCAACCTTTTTCAAACTGAGGTACTTCTTGAGAACGGCTAAGGACTACAGTTTGATATGCACTTCATGTGCTGCTTGACCAGCTGATGACTGAGATATCAATGCTGTTCATTAGCCCATTATGAACTGGCATTAATCTACTTCAAGACAAAGTAATGCTGTTTGGTTAAATACAAAAAGTGGAATTCACCTTGTTTGATGTTTAATTTGACAGACAACCTAAGTTGGGAGTGGCAATAAACAGCTTGGTCCCCACCTGCCAAACACACACCACACAAACATAACCACCTTCACAATATTCTTAGGAAATCACAATGTACCATAACTGGTGAGCTATTTTTGGAGCACGTCCATAAGCACGTAATGTGGTCCCTATTCGTGACTCCTGCTGTAAAGTGTCTCGATCTGTGTGCCTTCAGTGCCCCACCTCTCAAGGACACATCCCCAGCGAAGACGTGAGGAAGGTGTGGAAAGAATGCCAACAAGAAAGCTTCTGGTATAGAGGTATGTTGCAAAACCAAAACAAAATTAAAAAAAAAAAAAAACGCACACAAATGAATGGATTGCGCAAGTGGAACCAGACGGAAACACTGGGGCCCGACTTGTCCATCAATATTGCATTCAAGCTCATGTTTACATTCTTTTGTAGGGTGTCCTCTGGAAACAGCACCGTATGCGGAGAACAGTTGCCATGTGATAGCACTTACTTAAAGTTACCATACTATCTACTTGAAACTATTGTGTATATATATATATATATATATACACCCCCAAAATACTTGAGAAAAAAATATAAACCGCCAAAAAATGTTTTTACACTTTTTTAAGGGGCCCTGATGAATAACAAACAACGTATAAAAATGGTCAGACCCTCATGTCTCTTTGACATATGATGTGGTATGGTTTGGATGAATCTCTTACTTTCCATGGACATTTTAAAAGTGACCCAATCTTTGTTTTGCTTTTCTTTAGCTCTTCCCCTGTCCGTCGGTAGCATGGCTGTCACGGGCACTCTCATCTACAATGGTTAACACACACGCACGCACGCACGCACGCACGCACGCACGCACGCACACACACACACACACACACACACACACACACACACACACACACACACACACACACACACACACACACACACACTACTTATTTACAATATCAATGCTTTCACTTATTGTTTGTATTTCAACGCAGGTATTTGGAAAACGTCAAAGCGGTTTGGTCCCTTTCCAAAACTAGCAGGTATGGAACATGACTTCTGTTCTGTTTGTTTAGATATAGCATTTTGTTGTAGGATTGACACAAGATTATTTAACTTTCAGTTGCCGGAATCCTTGGCTTTGCCGTGGGGAAAGCATCTTACATCAGCACCTGTCGTCGCAAGTTACAGGAGCTCGGCCCCGGGATCGACCCACCGTTTGGGCCTTGGTCTGGCCCCTTTAATCGCGGACCCAGGTCCTGTCAACATGTGTGCGAAGAGTGTAAGAAAAAAGTTCCGGCGGGACCTACAGAATGATTACAAGAAAAAATTAAATGTGTAATTCAGGGATACGTTACAAAGGATGGTAACTTAATTTTTAAATAACTTTGATTTTCTCTTTCCCTGCATTAAAATTAATAAACAAATAAAGAAATAAATGAACAGCACTTTCAAAAAAATCACCTCTAGAGGGCAATGTTGTCATTTGAACCATAAATACCGTTACAGTAGTCAGAATTTTGGTGCATTGCATGGTTTCATTGTACTGTAGTCTTTGGAGGTTTATGAAATACATTTAAAAGTACAACATACATTACAATGAACTGAGGGCCACATGAAAATTATCTTTTTTTGTTTTGCTCGTTTTACTGTTGTTAATCATATTTGGATTTAATGATGAAATTTTGGTTAGTAAATATAAACAGTTGAGACAGGATCAGAAAGTGTTTGTATGCCGTAAAAATATTTTTAAAACGATAATTTTTGATTATTATTTATTTTATAACACATCAAAAGTATTGTAGGGACGATTTGATAATTGTGTTGATTATATTTTTGATATTGTGTGTTTATTATTATTTAACAATATGTATTTTTAATTTTTTATTTAGTTCATGAAACTATGGCAAACCATTGCCGATACCCCATTGACGAACTACACTTAAAACAACGTGTGTGACGTCTCCTGTCGACGCAACAGTTGGGGTGTCTTCCTTTTAGGGTATTTTGTGTCCTCGATGAATTATCTGTAATCATGTAGCGAAGCACCCGCCCGTCTCGTGCATTTTCGGTGTACGCTAGTATTAAAGTGAGCGAGCCGGTAGGAATGTCACCCTCACTACATCGTCCAATCAATGGTTGATTTTGGATAGATCGACACCTAATTTAGTCCTATAGGAAGCTGTGCTTGATGTAGGCGTATTGCCACGAAGCCAATCAAAACAGTGAAAGGCGGGGGGAAGTGACCACAGGCTACTCTGACAGACACTTTCAACACCGAAGCAGATTGAGGAGAAAAAAAACACAAATCACACCACTACGCAAATCCTTCCAATGGAGGAGGGCCAGGACGTTGGAGCTTGTTCGGCGAATGAAGTGTGCGAGCTGGCCGCATAGCTCAAACATAACGGGGGAGTGACGGACAGAGAAAAGAGAAGACACAGAAGGGAACAAAGTTGTAAGTAACGCCGTTGTTGTGTCGGGGAAAAAAAACCCAAGAACGTAGTGGTCATTCGCACTGTGATGTAGGCAACGTTACCGCACGCTAAGTTTGTCGTTGTGGGGTGGTGGTGGTGGTCGTGGTGGTGGTGGGGGAGGTATGAAACGCAGCCTTAAAGCATGCCAAACAAGGAGTTAAAAGTGTCATATCGTCCACCATAGTTTCCTTTTTTAAGGCGGTTAACACTGCAGCCTGTCCTGGTGTGTTAAAACATTCACTTCAAACTTGGCTGCTGTGGCTACCTAGCATCTCTCTTTACATTAGCCCCCAATACATGAGGCTAACAAAGCTGCTGGGAGGATGCTGCGTTAAGTCTCTCAACTACCGTAGGCGTTTTCAAATCATCTCCTGGTTTAGAATTAAGGCGAACACACCACTAAAAACATAAGTCGAATGTCATCAACAAAGGAATAACAAGCCTAACATGGCATTTATGCTTGGAGGAGGTCACTCTTAAGTTGCCCTCTCGGTCTCTTTTTTTTCTGGATGGCGTGTTTGTTAGGGACTTTAAGCTACATGTCCAACCACGATGGGGCTGAGATTGGCCCGAGGACTTAAATTCTCAGCCACAATGAAGCATTTGTTTTGCCTCGTGTGTTTCTGGAAAATTATTCGAGTATCACCGTATGTGGGGATATTGAATACATGGCCAAAAGGTTTAGATATAGAATAAATGGCCAGTAGTGTCTTGAAACATATGTAACAAGATACGAATAGACATTGTTTCTGCTTTGACTTCCGAGCAAAAATTTGAGAGAAGCGATATATCGTGGCAATGACCTCAACTTATATAATGTATTATTATTATTATTATTATCAACTCACTCCACAAGAGGCAACACATTTTGGCAGATGATAAAGAATTATTCAAAAAAGAGACTTTAAGCTGTGTGTGTGTATGTGTCTATGTATATATGGTGTGTGTGTGTGTGTGTGTGTGTGTGTGTGTGTGTGTTTTCTTCACTCACCCATATTGCAGAATTTATGATTTCCAAATAGCATTTTACTACATTGCTACGTCGATTTGAATTTGATTAACTGTTCAACCGTAGTTCCCTGTATTTCAACGTTTATCAGAGGGAAAATTGTCGTGAATGAGCGTGTTTCTTTTAATCCGGTGAGACATTAATGGCATTGAAGCTCACAGTGTTGAAACACTGAGCCGAGAGCTCTGTGAAATTTCCAGACTGTGAGCACCCACCCCTCCTCTAAACTGGCCCGCATGGATTAGCAACCAAGTCAGCATTGCAGACAGAGTGTAAAAATCTCTTAAAATGCTTGTGTAAAATCAAAACGCATACATTTTTTTTGGTCTCACTGCCATTTATTTATTTTTTTTATGCATCGTGCACCTCTCTAATTAGTGACCTCCAGCTTGTGCTTCTGCTGACGGTGGCGTGGCACTGCGCAAAGTGCGTTGACGCACGGGACTGAGCAAATATTTGGGCTGGTGAAGACTCTTTAGCACCTGCTCCATTGGCACGTTCGTCTTCATTCAGTATACCGGTCACCTGTTTCAACAAGGGCCGTAGCTTGCCATCTGCAATTGTGTTTGTAAATGTCACTTGGGCGGCAGATTAATTCAATGAAAACTAGACCACTTTGTGTACCTCCTGTGTTTGCATTTAACCCAAGTAGTGGTACCTTCACTTGCGAGTATTCTTTCTCAGGAAAATTACTATAAAGTTTCCCCATTGAAATGAATTAAAATGACATCACCCCCCCAATTTTTTGAAATTTGTCTTGAAGAAAGATGAATAGCAGTCTAGTGTATAAAAGCAAAACAAAACATAAAAGAGAATATACTGTAAGTACTGTAGTATCCATGTGGGATGGATGTCCTTCGGAGTGGGGTGAGGGCGGGGGGGGGGGCAATGGCCTCGTGAGTGACATCAGGAGCTGGAGTTGGTTTAGCCATCGAAGCCCCTTTTCATGTTCCACTCACTCAGCGTGAAAAAGTTCCGTCGCAGGACAGAAAGATGGCGGTGCCCCGGTTGTCAGCGTGCCCATATTTAGAAGTGCTCAAGTAGCAGCCTACCAGGAAGTAAGCAGAGACCCCCCCCCCCACTCTTTTAGAAGAGCAATAGACCGCACCTTGACAAGAGGTCTCTTTCATTGTTGCAAAAGAAAGCCCCGTGCTCTGCTCATTTGTGAGGATGAGATGAGCTGCAGAAAAGGATTGGAGGAAAAGGATTCTATCGCCACCTACTGTCCACAGGAACTGTCGTCACGGAGCTCAGAGTGCGAACGGCTCACCTGTTTTCTGGGTATGGTCACCTGACGTTTGCGATGCGATACGGGGCCTCTTGGATGTCAATTTCTGTTGACAGCAGGTGGCAGTCGAATGTCAAAATGGCCTGCGCCCTTTGATGGACGGAAAAAGGTAGATTCATCCGGAGCATAAGAGAGCACAGGACTCTGTGAGCTCTCGACATGTTTATTTTTTCTTTCACTCGATCGCGTGGAGCTGAGCTGGGGAGCTGGAAATAAACTATAATTGAGCCCTGCTGAGGAAGATTATCCCAAGCGTTGGGAGCAAGGCTTTGGCTCATAATTGATGTTTGGGGAGGAAACCACCCTCTTCTTTTTTACCAGAGCGAAGGAGACCGCGAGAGTTTTCAACGTATTTAGTTGCATCTCTACTAAATATCCCGTTCTTGCATTCAAATATGATCTTGTCTGGATTTGGCGAAATTGATAAGAGGAATGTCTACGGGTTTAACGTCCCTTTACATTCCTCGTCCTGTCGTGTTTTTCGCTGAAAGAGGCTGTGATTATGGCTGGGCCGGACCTGTTATTTTGCGTCTGTTTGAGCTACAGCTTCGCTGCTTTTGTCCGATGCGTTATTTTTTTGGGTGTGTGTGTGTTTGTGTTTTGTAACTTTTACTGCTTCTTATGTATGCAAAAATACCACCAGAAAAATGTGTAGTAGAAGCTCAAAAGGTCAGAGTGTCTGGATTTGTACAATTCTTTTCCAAAGGAAATGATGTAAATAATCTCGACCAACGGCTTTTTGAACGACCATTTTAGCATTTTTAAAGTGTGGCACAAGTGTATACATTTTATCATTAAGCCATTAAAACAATTCACACATTGCTCGTTTCCGAGAAGAAGAAAAACAAAACACCTAAGATGTTAACCAGATAGCTCGCGTTGGCTAACATTTTACGCCATAAGAACGATGCGTTCCCACAGCTTTGCAAATATTGTGATCTGAGTAACTGGCGGAGATGCTTGCAGTTGTCTTCACACCTCCACCATTTGCTGTTGTTCTTACGCAGACAGACTGGAGTCACGTTTTGTGGATTCTGCTTCACGTTGTAATTCGCCATTAAGGGTACAAAAACACACAAACACTACCGGTGTATATTATGAAATATGAACTTTTCCATGATAGTGTAGACGTCTTTTTTTCAAATGTCAATACAGTCAATCCTTGGTCGCAGCCAAATAGAACTCCCGCCCCTTCGGTGTAGCATCCTTATTGCATTGCACTCTAGCAAGATTGCAGGTCATATCGGTTCAGGCCGAGCTAATCATTGATCAGATGCTTTTCGTTACACTGACCTTTAGCCACCCCCCTTCACTTACCTTGTTTCCTTTCATCCTTTGGGAGTTGTAGTGGCACATTAATGCCGTTCAAAGTCATGAATCTGCTTAAGGAGTGGAGGACTTTGTTTGGAAAAAAAGAACAATTCTGACACCAGGAAACACCTTTTTAAACTCCACTGGATGACTCAATTTTTTGTTGGGTTGAACTTGAAGTCACCGCGTCAGAGCAGGAAGTGTGATCATCCATGACTAACAGGTGTGGTGGCGTGAGAAAACGGGCCATCACGTCTTTTTGGCGCATCATTGCAACTGAACTACGCTGCTGCCTGAGTCGATTGGACTCAATATCATTGCGCCGCCCACCCCGTTCTCACCCTTTTTTGCTCAACACCA